ATATATATATGTATGTAGGTGGGGGTCACAACCCCCAAAACCGCCACACAAATACGCCCATGCACAAAGCTGCTACTGGAACACAGCGTGGGTGATGACAATAATTTATTTTCAATATCTGATCATCTGATTTTTTTAACACTTGTATTAAACATTTCATAACAATATCATAACAGGGGGTTACATATAAATTAAAAAAGGAAAACAAAGAAAAGACAATAAACCCAAAAACAAAGAGGACTGTATTGTTTTATATTGTATCAATTTGATCAGGTAGAGTTTAAAAAAGGGGCTTTTTACCAGAGAATTTACGGTTCTGAAATTTGGCAAATATAAAAAAAATGATCATATAAAATTAATTTATTTTAGAGTTACATGCGTTTAAAGGAACAAAGAATACATCTGAGTCTGCAAGAAAAAATGTCTTGAGAATCTTGGTCTGTAGAGAATGAAGGGGTTTCCAGAGAAGGGACATTTCCAAAACAGGTGGGTGACAGTTTCACTGACTTGGTTACAGATACAGTTTATGTGTAAATATTTCTTTGCAGGGTAGCACCTAGAGAAGTTTAAAACATACACCCTGAACTTTGTTTGTAATAAAGTATTTAGAAGGTAAAGTCCATACAGTTCTCAATTTAATAACAGGTGTTGTCTCTAATAATGAATGATATAAGGCACAGTAGCATTTTTGTGAAGATCCATTGTGTTTGTTTCCGTCCTCCATAATCTTTGCAACAGGTAACAAAGGCTAGGAGGAAAACACTTACCAGTTGCTTTATTTTAAACTAAACTAAACTAAATTGTGCATGCTTGTGCTGCCTCAGTTGATCTGAACATGGATCCTGAACTTTCCTATCTGTTGACCAATAGGAGTTGACATGAGGACCGCCCACCTTGTTAAACATTAAAAAGACACAAATGCATGGTAAGTAAGTAAAGTTTTATTTATAAAGTGCCTTTGACAGAAATATATTCACATAGTGCTCTATCATCATCAACAATGTATAATGGCAGAAAGACATAATAAAACATAAACAACATAATAAAACATCAAAACAAGAAGAATAAATTCTAAATTCTAACTCAGAAACATGTTGCAGCTCGAGCTGTGAGTAATTAGGGATAAACCTACAGAAGGAGCACAGGCCTAAAAATGACTTGAGTTGTCATTTTGTGATTGGGCGGCGTAGGGAGATTGAAAAGGAGAAATAATGTACAGTTCTCTAGGCC